AAATAACCAATAAATATATACAAAAAATATTGGTAGTATTTTAAGCTTCATGTGTATATCGGTTAAAACTGTTTTGAAATGGCTTTTTTGTACCATTTTCGTCTTGATTAATATGTAAGTGCTTTGTTTGCTGTATCACTCACCTGTTCATTGTATTAACTACTGTTTAGTGATTATAAAGAGTATAAAGCAATACAATAACATTTAAATAAACAAATTGTTGAGACAAAAGAATCAAGAAAAAAAAGACAAAACAACAAACGAAAGGTCAAACACCAAACATAAACAAAAACACAAGCGAAAAACAAAGTCTCATCTGTTTGCTGAACTTACCTTTTGTTTTGAATTCAAGTGATGCATTCCTTTTTCCATATTTGTTAATTGAGAAAACCATTACTTGATATGACGTGTCTGGTCTCAGCTGATCCAATGTGTAGTATATCGTACTCCCCGTTCTTGTTTCATTAGTATGCACAATCTTTGTTTCCCACTTGTCATCATCTGTAGTTTTAAACTGGACAGTAAATTGTTGGGTGTCTCCGCCATTGAATCCAGCTATCCAGGATAGATTTACTGATCTAAACGTTGTTGTTCCGTCAGAAAAATTTTGCGGTGCTTCTGGTTTATCTGAAATTAATTTGTAAGCGATTTTTCTCTGTGGATCTATCTTTGGTATAAAACAATCAACAGTATTGATTTTTGCCATTTAAAATCATCAAAGACAATTTCATAATTATGGCTTATGATATTTATATGAGTAATTTCTTTTCGATCACCCTTTATGAACACTAACAAAACTAAATACGTGTTGACCTGAAAATGCATAGAATATTTTCGACTGCTGGATAGATCACAAATAACACGACGGATGTCACTAGACTTTTGGTTTGGTTGATTTTTCTAAATCTATAGTTCTTAGTAAAGTGTTTTTGGCCATAGTACTGTCTTAATAGCCCAGTAGTCAGCACTTCTGTGGGGACTTGCATTATCATTGATATGGTCATAATTATAAATTAACTGTTAACAAAACTTTTCATTTTTCGAAATACTAATAATTTTCTACCCAAGGAATATATAACCTTAGTTGTCTTTCATAAAAACTTTTCGGAATTTTAAGTTCTCAATGCTCTTCATCTTCGTACTTAATTTGGCCTTTTGAACATTTTTGATTCGAAGGTCACTGGTAAGTCCATTATAGACAAAATCCGCGTCTGGCGTACACAATTTAATCCTGGTATCTACGACGAGTTTGGTATCTTTAATGTATGATTTTTAACTCCTTGGTATCTTCTTATGTGTATAATTCTTAAAAGCTAATTATTAACGTTCTAATCCCCAATAGAAAACGTATGAGCTACATTTATTCATGAGGTAAAGTTTAATGAATTATTTTTATGCTAAAATATAAATTCTTAAGAACAAAGCTATATATTTTACAGTGCTAACTGCTAAGGATATTGATTACTAATGACAGGCATTTTACAATAAGGATATATAATTCCACAACTTTCTAAAGAACTATGGGTATTCCATGTAAACGAATATGACTGTCATGTAAATAAACATATTAGATTTCAAATGATCATCAATATCTTGGGACGTCTTTGGACACATTTTTTCTTAATTATGTCTTTGCTGCAATAATCTCTATTGCTTATTACTAATATGGCCGAATTTTGGTACAGAAATGATACTATTTTGTCTATTGTTTAATAGTTTTTTTTAACAAATACAGGAAAAATTTTGATTTAAATATGTTCAGAGTTTGATTTATTATGAGGTACATGTACATAATGTATGACCTAGATAATGAAGACAGATATTTTGTTGTACTGTACATTTACTTATATTGGTTTTTTACAAGGCAATGATTAGGTGACGCCTATTTCATCTTTTCTTGTGTTGGATAGAAGATATCATCTTGTATTGCATATAAAAATTCAACCATTTCCTTTTCCTTCTAGTAGCATAATATTGCTTTTCGTGAATACAATCTGATCGAAATATGTACACATTACACTCCTTGGAGGTCTGACGATGCTGGTAAAAATATATTGTGCCATTTGTAATCATATATTATGATCGTAATAAATATTATTGTTCTTTCTCATCGACTTCTTAATGCCAATGTGTGTATATCTATTTAACTAATCATTGATTTGATATGTATAGATTCAATCACTGAATAACATGTGATACGATACTTCTCACTCGAAACAGTTAAATTTTCAAATTTATAACGCAAGGCTCGCCGACCGTTTCAAATATTTAAAATGCAACCGTCGGGTGTGAAGAGATATCGTATTGCATGAGATTTGGTGGTAGAATCTGTTTCTCTTATGATTTTTAGACGATGTGCAGACACATTGTATCCTTCTTTTCCAATGACCTGCAAAAACATGTGTTATATCTTTGTAACGTCATCAGACATTGTCGCTTTTATTCATGACGTCACAATATAAAATTAAGAGGAAAGCAAGGAAATTTGACTTCATAATGGAATTTTGGTCAAGTAAGAATGGAGATAAAGCAAACCACACGTTGATAATATTATAATAATCAACAGGTCGGGAAGAGGATAAATCGGCTCAGAATTAGATAAATAAAAATATAACTACCTCGCGGTTTCAAAGTGATAAATTCTTTAATACATCCAAATTGGTTACATATCGTCATTCCATACACATCAAAGTCCACTTCCGATCCAATACGTATTTTGGAACTAATTATATGTTTGTAATCATATGTTTCTTTTGAAATCGTCCAATCGAACCCAGTCTTAGAATCCCACTTTACAGTTGGTGCCGGGAATGATATAACATGCACAACTATATTTTCTACTGTACCAATTTTCGCTCCTATTGTTCTTGATGTAGTTGTGGCATTCCTAGGTTTACCTGTAAATCATGTTTTAAATGTAAACACACAATAACTAAGCGATACATTTTACTTCAATGTTAAATTACATTATACACTTTATTATTCAAAATCCTGAAATCGTTTGAAAAGACTTGCAGAAGTCGTTTTTTTTTTTTTTTTTTTGTATTCGTTCCTTCTGTCTACTTATTATGACAGGAACATTGTACCGCTATGAAGTATTGCTTTAATATATAACACCTTATGAACATATTGATAGTTGATGATATGAGGAGTCTTAACTTGGTTTTTGCTTTGATTAAAAAAGGAAATCTTGTTATGAAAAGGAGCTCGAGGAACAACAGGTATATAATGCATTTTTAAAAACAAAAGTCCGAATGGACGGCAACCAATCCTTCAATCCTTAATACACTTATAACAAATATCAATGTTTTATCTGATACTTAAATTAAGATGCAATGCCTGTAGATCTTCAATTAATATTTGTTTTACTTAAACATTTACAGTATACAATAAAATTGCGAATGGAAATGGAGAATATGTCAAAGAGACCCGACCAAAGAACAGACAACAGCTGAAGGCCACCAATGGGTCTTCAACGCAGCGAGAAAATCCCGCACCCGGAGGTGGTCCTCGGCCGGCCCCTAAATAAAATTGTGTACTAGTTCAGTGAAAATGAACGTCACACTAATCTCCAAAACATATAAATGAACTAAAATTAAAAAACATACAAGACTAACAAATGCCAGAGGCTCCTGACTTGGGACAGGCGCAAAAATGCGGCGAGGTTAAACATGTTTTGTGAGATCTCAACCCTCCCCCTTTACCTTTAACCAATGTAGAATAAAGAAACACATAGCAATACGCACAGTAAAACTCAGTTTAAAAGAAGTCCGAGTCCGATGTCAGAACAGGTAACAAAAGAAGCTAAGCAAAATGACAATGATACATAAAATAACAAAGGACTACTAGCAGTTACTGACATGCCAGCTCCAGACCTCAATTAAACTGATTGAATGATTATGTCTTCATATGAAACAATCTATTCATAAGGGAGGCATATCTAGTTCTGTCTGTTGTAGGTTTTTTGATACAAATACACTTGTGTGCCTCTCCTTATCTATGTGTTACAAAAATATATCGTTCGCACTAAACTTTCAAACACAAAATTGTTCACGCATATGGACAAACCACAAAACAAATTGCAACAAATAACCTATAATAAAATTTGAACATATTTATAAATTATATCATCAATCTTTCAAACAATTTTAAACAATATCAATGCGTCACACTGAAGACTGTTTAAAAACTTGGTTACAGTCCAGATCTGTATATGTTTCAGAGTGTAAATAAGCTTTTAATGGTAACTACTGCCTTCAATGGGGCTAGATACATCTGGATTGAATGCAAATAAAATTCATAAATCCTTTAAAACTTAGAGCAACACAAAATATTTAATTCTCATAAATCTTAACATGACTGTTAGGTTAATCTTAAGGCATTTAAGATTACAATCATCTCAATTTCGTATACTTGAATAGAACATTAGGACACGAACAACGTCCGCAATGACAACTTACAATGTTTTCGTTAGAAATAATTATTGTTCCGGGTTTTTTTTATTTGTATGTGTTTTACTTTTACATCGCATGGCCTAGATGGACAAAGTGGGAGGTTTGTATCACATAAACTTGACTAACATCAGCATGGATTATGATTTGGTAATTCCTAGTTGTCTAAAATTGCGCGTACACCTTCTTGCATGTGTTGGTTTGGTTTGTTTTATTGTCCAAAAACGTTGACTATTCCTTTTATCCTTTGTATTTAAAACAATATTTAAATGTATTGTCCCATAGATGTTCAACGTTTACATTTGCAACACATTTGTTTCCGTATTCTTCTATCTTCCGAATTCCCATTATGAAGTATTACAGTTAGTGTGTCCTTTTCGTTTTTTTTTAAATTTCGTTTACTCTTGTGTTACTTGTAAATAAACATGTGTAATACACTATCTTTTCTTTCTTTTACAAGACATGTAAGTTAAACGAACTGTTACATTGGGAATAATGTTATTCAGATATGTATGTTAGTGATGAAGATACTCCTGTAACTATACTTACAACATATTTTTAAGTTCACCGTTCTGGTATCTGCAAATGGTATCCCATTACTAGCCCGTATTGAGAAGTTTCCCGAATCTTCACATCTAAGAGAAGGTAGGTTAGATATGTAATCAATAAACCCATTTCCCTTATTAATACGTTGAATTTTCAACAAGGAAGATTTAAACATTATTTGCGGACCAGGATTACTTTCCATACGCAGTGTCATCTTCACATTTACCTCTTCATTGAAATCAAAAGTTGTAGGAGTACGTACTTCATATCTCTGATCGTTAGAACTAAACCAGATATCAGTTATTTTAGGAGAATCTGAAATAGATTATACAATACTTCAAAATAATATGAATTTAATGAATTATATTTCACAATGGTACAGACATGATTGAAATAATGAATTGATTTTGTAAATTGCACGGTATAAATAATCTAACTGTACTATTACTAAAGTTGAATCTTCCACATACAAAGTGGACCTTCTTTTTTTTCGACCTGGAAATGCGGTATGTATTTTGATTTCCTAACTTCTTTCTCCAAGCGTATTGGATGGTTATAATTCAAATTACATGTACATCTAGAAAAATCTACAGCTATAGCTCAACTGCATTATTTAAATCGCAAGATTATATTACAGTAGAACAAGTAATTAACTTTACATTCATCTATTGTGGAGGAACGATTTATCGTATTCACAGTCAGTACGATCTTTCCAATGATGATTCATTCCCTCTTTACGATGTAGACATAATCTTGGTCGCCATATTATGTCGATAAAATCGTGTTAGAGTAGTTCATTTTAATCAGCATAACTTATGCGATACATACATTCAAATGACTTGATCTTGATGTAGTTCAAAATCTTAACTTCCATTTGATAGAGAAAAATCATATTTCAATCAATGTTGTGGTTCAGTATAATCAACTCCATATGGGAGGAGAACACTAGATTCCACAGTATAAATATCCATTTATACTTCTGCATGAATGCCATGTGATTCTTATTAATATCTATTAGAACAAACAAAAAAAGAACAAGACCGATACCGGGTCTAGACCTGCGTCGCTGTATGCAATTGATTGAGGTTACGTGTATGTTGAAGCATAACTGATAATTCCCTTTCATTGAAGCAAAGGACACTTTGCAGAAAATTTCCCATGTTCAATCAGTTTCGTAAAATTGCAAACATACGGCAACCCAGAAGTGGCTGCAATAAGTATTGTAAAACTATCGGCAAACAGGAAGCTTCAACTAAACATTATTAAGCTGCAGACCAACTATAGAATGACTTAAGCCCATAGAAGCCAAGAGAAATTTATGAAAGGTAATAGGCCTGGTATCACCTTTGGCGACACAGGTAAAAAAAAAAGAAACAAATGACACGTTTTCGTGCGCACGTCACATATTTTTTTGGAAAGTTTTAATTATTAGGTACGTTTGTCTCTAAAATTAATGTTAAGGCTCACAACGTGAACAACTTGGTAATATTGCAAAATGCATAGTACGTTAATCGTAAGTATCTTTTGAAATACCGACTTGAAAATTATCCACCAAACTGAAAAACAATTTTGTCCATGAAAAGTCCCGTAAGCTGATTTGATATTTTGTGTTTTTTCTTACACTTCACGTACGTCGAACAACTCTTTAAAACGTGGCGGTAACGGGTTTGATCACTATTATTCGATGCAATCTTGACACAGATAAGAAATTGAAATTCCTCTAATGTTCGATTTGTGCAGTATACTTTCGTATCTTGTATTCAAACTTGCCATAATTGATATGCTCAACTATTAGATTTCTACTAAATCAGGATATGGATTATTGTTTCTTAGACATACGTAATATGAAATAGAAACACAATTGTATCATCATATCACGCATCAACTACTTGATCCCTTTTTGTAGAAGGTAATCGTACTTACAATGTAGTTTATACATTTATATGTCACAGTTGAACAATTCATATCTCTCCCTTTCTATTTTTTTGACACGATCTTGTAATACTTATAGTCATATGAAACGATTATCTTGTATTTTTAATGTTATCGAAATTATTGAACCAGTGCATGCATATATACTAATTTAGTCCTGTATGTAGGATTTTTATATTTATCACCAATCTATAACGTATTATCGAGAAATAATGTTTTATTCAGTGATAGTTGATCGCAATCAAATTAATTTTCGAGTTTGTTGCCAAGTTTACCGGATCGTGACATTGATAAACACTCAAAACAGAGCACATGCCAAAGGAGTGAATTGCTAAGGTCATGATATTTTTTTTAATATTTTCAATGCGTCCCCATTTGTTAATTAAACTTTTCCTTCACAGTTGTATAATGATTTGTTGTATTAAATTTGTTCTTTAAGAATCAGTTATTACTATTTACCAGTGCACGTTTGTTTACGTTCTCTCATCACGGTTTCCCTCGCATTTGCGCTGTGTGGGGGACGAAGTTCTAACTAGAGGTCTCGTAGTTAAGGTCACTGCATACGGTTAAATATCGGTGAAATAATGTACGGGAAGAAAATAATTCAATCGCAGTACATTTATGAAGATGTTGATAATATAAAGGATTTTCCTTTACAGGAAAGTTCAAGTAAACTTGTTTCATAGTAAAACTTAGCCATTCAATTACATAAAAGACATTCATCTTTTTTTTTAAATTTGATTTTTCATATGACTTAACCAAATCAATGAAATCCTAGTTTCATTCTTTGCTTAGCATGTTCCGAGTTGATTAGCCATGCCAATACTTTATCTTAACATCTTTTGTAACGAATAAGCTTATAATGACAGTACAAGAACAAAGTAAAACAACAAAATTACCGAACTCCGAGGAAAATTCAAAACGGAAAGTCCCTTAACAATTGGCAAAATCGAAACCTCAAACACATCAAACGAATGGAAAACAACTGTAACATTCCTGACTTGGTACAGGCATTTCCTTATGTAGAAAATGGTGGATTAAACCTGGTTTTAAAGCTAAACCTCTCACTTGTGTGTTAATCGCATAAAATTCCATTATATTGACAACAATGTATGAACAAAACAAACAGACACAATAGGTAAAAAAATCAAAAATAGTGGTTCAGCAGTCAACATTGCGTTATAATTTCAATCACTACAAAAACAAACAAATATGTCAACAATAAAACAAAAATGGCATATAGACAAAGCACATACGCAAAAATGAAACACAAGAATACAAAAAAATGACAACAGCACAACAACTACAATGACGGGAACTAATGTTACAGTAGTAAATCTGGTGAAATATTGACTGAAATAACTTGTTCCACTTTTAACTATTGTACTAATGGTTGCAATCGATTTTTCCAAATAACTTGAGTTTGTAAGGGACGGGGTTTGTTTATTCGTGATTACAGCTTCTAGATGGGAAAACTAATTCCCTATTGGGACTTGTTCAGTTGTGATATGTAGCGCTAATGATAATGGTCGACGCCATGGTAATGTTTATAAGGTCGAGCAGAACTGTTTTGATTTTATTAGTAACGATCAAAGTGTACCCTTTTCTAACTGAGTACGAATTATAAGTCATAAATTGTGAATATTTATCTTGATCCAGTTTTACACTTCATAGCTATCTAGTAATTGCATGTATATATGTTCATGACCAGGAAAATTATTTGAAGAAGTATTATGTAGCTAATTCCATCATTTTAACATGTAATTGTACTTTATTTGAAACACTTAAAAATATAATAGATTACCTATATCTAAATATGCAGTAAGGGTTTATCATTTGTGTTAATTGTATTGTAATTGTATAGTATGTTTAGCTGGAAAATGGTGCACATCAAGCATAAAAAGATCATTTTAAATAAACTCTATAATTTACAAACTTTCAAATTTGGAAACCCCTGAATATTTACATGTACGCTGAATTTCTGGATGCATGGAAATATTTTACAGTAAATGACCAAATATAATGTAAACTTGTATCAACTATTTTCCTTAGAAGCAATGATTCAACCACTAGGTTGATGTAAAAGTAAAGATAAACATACAAGGTTTTGTCACTTCACAAATACTAATGTTTTTTAAGCATAAAGTTGTCCATTTCTTTTGTTTATATGTGTAACCATTTCAAGCGTCTAATAACTTATATACTCACTGTTAATACTTACACTGTACATTCACTAATATGTCTTTTGTCTTCTTTACATCACCTGTAGAATGATCTACCCTGCAACGGTAGGTTCCGTTTTGATTCCTCTTTATTGCTAGAACATGTACACTCCGGTTGTTGTTTAAAATGAATTCATTTGGAACGGGTTTGAATCTACCTGCCCAATTTTCTTTCCATGTGTATTTACATCCAGGATTGCAGGTTGCATTACAATGTATAGGGCCTAATGCGGTTCCTTCTGTTAAATTAATAATTGCGATCGCAGGTTCCATCACAACATTGTCAGGACCATCTGTAATATTCAAAAAACATATATGAATTTATAACAAATGAGACGAAAACTATATAATTTTAGTTGGTTCAAACGTTACAAAATATGATTTTAAGGAGGCGATCAAAAGGTATAACAGATGATATCACATCCATAAAAATGCAAATAAAAAACGATATTTAATTCAACGAATACAGCGGTTTTTTCCATGGCGTTCTCAGTTTTATTCGATTGATGTGTTTTTGGATGTCCCCTTAGTATTTTTCGCCTCATTTTTAAAAAGATAACTACAGATTGAGTAACAGAAACATAGCAATAACCGACTGTAAACTGTGGTGCTCTGGATTGGACAAGCAGTTTATGCTATGTTTGCTGATGTTTTAAATAACAGTGCTTTTTAGAATATAACGATAAGATGTGGCATGATTGAACAATAAAATCATAAAAAAATGAAAGATCCGTTTCCATGTTTTTGAGATATTAGCCTTTGAACATTTAGGGGGAAATGATTCTCTCTAAAGTTTTCATACGTTTAACATTGACAGTTTTTTTCATTCAAAAACATTTAAAAAGTAATAAGGATTCTATAAGATTTTCAAAAATGGCATTTTAAACTATATGTTATATATATAAAAAAAGAAGGGGTAAATCGACAAGATGGTTCTACACGGATAAAACCAGAGGATTCCGAATATATGATAAAAAGTTAAAAAAAATCAGCGAACATTCTTAAGTATGGAATCTGCATGCATGTACATACTAAATATACAATGAACACATGCATCACACTACAGTAAAACAATAGTCGGTGTTGATCCATAATTTTGATAAGTCTATTTTCAAATTCTCAGTTTGTTTACAAGTGTCAACTTTGCTACTACTACTTCTACTATTACTACAGCTACTACTACAATGAATAGTATTATAGTTTTCTTTACTTATTTTCCATAACAAAATGAATTATTGCATGTAGTGCATTCTAAACTATTTATGCCGGTAGAGAGATACACATCTGTTAGATATAAACCATGACAGTGGTTTGTGTTATTATTAGTTACACATTTTTAACTACAGCATATGTCACTCCAATATAAACCCTATGTGTAAGACATTAAGGACACTTTCAAATAACTAGTGTAGTACACTGAAGCTGTGATCGAAACTTTATACTATCATACTTACAATACGGATCTAATGTAACAGTATTACTCATGTTTGACACTTTTCCAAGATCATCAGTTGCCTGGCATTTTATGTTTGTTCCTTTGTCCGACTTAGTAAGTGTGTGTATCATTAACCTATTGTTGTCAGTAGCTCCAGGTTTGTTCCCATGAAATTGATATGACAGGTGTGAAGATCTATATCCTGCAGGCCATCGCTGTATCGTTGAAGAACACGTAAAAGTTACATTATCACCAACAAATGGATGCTCAGGTTTAAGAGTTAATTTTGTATTTATCGGTTTACCTAAAATATTTTTGAATAAATACATTCTTGTTTAATCATTAATTTATTTCTATGAAGTTATTTTTATTAGTAGTTATATCTTCAAACATTCAAAAAATATTTTCTAAAAAGATTTTCTATATCTGACAATCCCTTAATTTGTAACTATGGTAACTTCCTGCTGAGCGCATGTCGATTCAATACAATTGAATTAAGAAAGGCTTTTTCCTTACTTATCCCATTTCTTTTTTATGGAAAAAATGCAACAAAAGATGTTAATTTTTGCATATCTATCAAAACGACGTTTTAATTAGTTTTTTTGCAGTAAACTTACCATGCACAATAAACAAAACAAGAGGCTGTCAGAGAGACAGCAAACCGGATTTTCCTGCAGAGGTCGAACCCTGAACAGTTGAGCAAGTATGGACACTACATTTAAACTTAACCAGCTCTGAATTTGGATTGTGATTGAATATTTGACACATCATAGGTTTGTGACACAAAATGAATGTAGTCAAAGAACTAATATATTTGAAATTGGACATTTAAATACCTATTATGGTACAATATCCAAAATCTAAGTACATATTAGAATAAGCATATCAAAGAACCCCAAGAATTCAATTTTTGATGAAATCAGAGAAAAGTTTAATCCAGGACCCTTTGGACCTCAATGTGGACCAATTTGGTAAAGGAGCCCACAATCCAAAATCTCTCAATATACATGGTTAGATTCAGCATTTCAAAGAACCCCATAAATTCAATTTTTGTTGAATCAAACAAAGTTTAATTTTGGACCCTGATTTAGACCAACTTGAAAACTGGGCCTAAAATCTAATATTTAAATAGAGTTTAGATTCAGCCTTTGAAAGAACCCTTTATATATATTTAATTCATGTTGAAATGAAACACAGGTTCATTTAATCCATAATATTTTCTGTGCAAATGGAAATAACTCAAACTGGATAAAAAGTTCTCTAAAATAAGATATGATGCAATTTTTCAAATTGTAATCAATAATATAATAACAACAACCAGTGATGACTAAGTTCTCTAAAATTTGATATGATTTCACACTCAAACATTGTTAGAATCATCATATCAAAGAACCAAAGAATTCATTTTTTGATGAAATTAAACAAAAGTTTAATTTAGGACCCTTTGGACCTCAATGTGGTATTATCTTATTAATAATGAAAAGCTCGACCGTTTACAAGTTCTTAAACAGGAGGGGGTGGGGGTGACCCGAGGGGACTCGCCTTATATTTCATTTGATTTTTTTTATTGTCCCATACAAGAATATATATGGTTTCGGGGTGGGGATCTTGGCCATTTACAAGTTTTCAAAAAGAAGAGCGGGGTGGGGGTTACTCCAGGGGACTTTCCCTCAATTTCATTTGATTTGTTTTATTGTCCCATTCAAGAATATATATGATTAAGGGGTGGGGATCTCGACCGTTTACAAGTTATCAAAAAGAAAGGGGAATGGGGGTTACCCCCATGGACTTTCACTATATTTCATTTGATTTGTTTTATTGTCCCATACAAGAATATATATGGATTAGGGTGGGGATCTCGACCGTTTACAAGTTCTCAAACAGAAGGGGTGGGATGACCCCAGGGGACTCGCCTTATATTTCATTTGATTTGTTTTATTGTACCATACAAGAATATATATGGTTTCGGGGTGGGGATCTTGACCGTTTACAAGTTTTCAAAAAAAAATTGGGGTGGGGATTACCCCAGGGGACTTCGCCTCAATTTCATTTGATTTGTTTTATTGTCCCGTTCAAGAATATATATGGTTTAGGGGTGGAGATCTCGACCGTTTACAAGTTATCAAAAAGAAGGGGGTGGGGGTAACCCCCTGGACTTCTTCTATATTTCATTTGATTTGTTTTATTGTCCGATACAAGAATATATATGGTTTTGGGGTGGGATTCTTGACCGTTTACAAGTTTTCAAAAAGAAGGGGTTGGGGGTGACCCCCATGGACTTCCCCTATATTTTCATTTGATTTGTGTAATTGTCCCATACAAGAATATATATGGTTTCAGGGTGGGGATCTTGACCATTTACAAGTTTTCAAAAAGAACGGGGGTGGGGGTTACCCCTGGGGACTTCCCCTCAATTTCATTTGATTTGTTTTATTGTCCCATTCAAGAATATATATGGTTTAGGGCTGGGGATCTCGACCGTTTACAGGTTATCAAAAAGAAGGGGTCGAGGGTTACCCCCATGGACTTCCCTATTTTTCATTTGATTTGTTTTATTGACCCATACAAGAATATATATGGTTTAGGGTTGGGGATCTTGACCGTTTACAAGTTTTCAAAAAGAAGGGGGGTGGGGGTGACCCCCCTGGACTTCCCCTATATTTCATTTGATTAGTGTTATTGTCCCATACAAGAATATATATGGTTTAGGGGTGGGGATCTCGACCGTGAACAAGTTCTCAAACAGGATGGGTTGGGGATGATCACAGGGGACTCGCCTTATATTTCATTTGATTTGTTTTATTGTCCCATACAAGAATATATATGGTTTCAGGATGGGGATCTTGAACGTTTACAAGTTTTCAAAAAGAAAGGGGTTGGAATGGTCCCGGAGACTCCCCCAATATTTCATTTGATTTGTTTTATTGTCCAATACAAGAATATATATGGTTTAGGGGTGGGGATCTCGACCGTTTACAAGATAAAAGCACATTCTCAAATTGAAGGGGGGTGGGGGTAAGAATATATATGGTTTAGGGAGACTTAATTATCTACAAAATGTCTAATAATAAACAGTAAATTTCAAACTTCATTTATACAGTCTGAGTCCTACTAGTAAATTTCAAACTTTATATATACAGTCCTACAGATCTTATCAGGAAACAGAAATTTTTCAAATAAATCTGTCAGTCAAATGATTATCATATGCTAAGATATAACCCAGATCTAATTAATAATTAATAATGTAATAATCTTCAAAATGTCTAATAATATAGCTTATAATCATCACCACTTAGGAAATAGATAATTTTCAAATAAATCTGTCACACCAATTTTTATTGTGAGATAAGACAAGTCATAAAAGTTTCAAACAATTTACCAATGATATTTCGCCAATTATAACTCAAATTTATTTCCATGAACCAGTAACAAAACACCAAAATAATTCTCTAAAATTATATATCACTTAACCACTCATAAATCTCTAAAATTAGATATGATTTTATATCTATCAATTAAACACATCACTTTTCAAAACAACTAACTCAAACTTATTTCCATAAACCAGTAAAATACCAGCAAAATACTTCTCTAAAATCAGATATGATGTTATATATATTTCCATATTATAATCAAATTTAATTAATAGTTGCTAATATTGTTTCTTTCATGTGTCAAAAAATAATACAGATTTGCAACTTATCTATCAATGTCAAAAACTTTATCTCATAATAAAAATAGTTTATTATCTAATTAAAAACAAGTTCAGATTCAGCACTTGAAAGAACCCTATATATATTTAATTTATGTTCAAATATAACACACACAAACTGATTAATTTTCCCAGGGGACCTGCCCTTTATTTCATATGATTTGTTTTTTTGTCCCATACAAGGATATATATGGTTTAGGGGCGGGGATCTCGACCATTTACAAGTTCTTAAACAGGAAGAAGGTGGGAATGACCTCAAGGAACACACCTTTTATTTCATTTCATTTGTTTTATTGTAACATACAAGAATATATATGGTTTCGCGGTGGGGATCTTGACCGTTTACAAGTTTTCAAAAAAAGGAGAGTAGGGGTTACCCCAGGTGACTTCCCCTCAATTTAATTTGCTTTATTTTATTGTCCCATACAAGAATATATATGGTTTAGGGGTGGGAATCTCAACGGTTTACAAGTTTTCAAAAAGAAGGGGGTAGGGTTTAACCCCCGTGGACTTCCCCTATATTTCATTTGATTTGATATATTGTCCCATACAAGAATATATATGGTTTCTAGGTGGGAATCTTGACCGTTTTACAAGTTATCAATAAAAATTGGGGTAGGGGTTACCCCAATGGACTTCCCCTATATTTCATTTGATTAGTTTTATTGTCCCATACAAGAATATATATGGTTTAGGGGTGGGGATCTCGACCGTTTACAAGTTCTTAAACAGAAAGAAGGTGGGGATGACCCCAGGGGACTAGACTTTTATTTCATTTGATTTGTTTTATTGTAAGATACAAGAATATATATGGTTTCAGGGTGGGGATCTTGACTGTTTACAAGTTATCAATAAAAATGGGGGTAGGGGTTACCCCAATGGACTTCCCCTATATTTCATTTGATTAGTTTTATTGTCCCATACAAGAATATATATGGTTTAGGGGTGGGGATCTCGACCGTTTACAAGTTCTTAAACAGAAAGAAGGTGGGGATGACCGCAGGGGACTAGACTTTTATTTCATTTGATTTGTTTTATTGTAAGATACAAGAATATATATGGTTTCATGGTGGGGATCTTGACTGTTTACAAGTTTTCAAAAAAAAGGGGTGGGGGTTACCCCAGGGGACTTCCCCTAAATTTCAATTGATTTGTTTTATTGTCCCATACAAGAATATATATGGTTAAGGGGTGGGGATCTCAACCGTTTACAAGTTTTCAAAAAGAAGGTGGTGGGGTTTACCACCGTGGACTTCCGTTAAATTTCATTTGATTTGTTTTATTGTCCCATACAAGAATATATATGGTTTAGGGGTGGGGATCTCAACCGTTTACAAGTTTTCAAAAAGAAGGGGTTGGGATTTACCCCCATGGACTTCATCTATATTTCATTTGATTTGATATATTGTCCCATACAAGAATATATATGGTTTCTGGGTGGGAATCTTGACCGTTTACAAGCTATCAAAAAGAAGGGGATTGGGGTTACCCCAATGGACTTCCCCTATATTACATTTGATTAGTTTTATTGTCCCATACAAGAATATATAGTACAGGGATGGGGGATCTCAACCGTTTACAAGTTCTTAAACAGGAAAAAGGTGGGGGTGACCCCAGGGGACTCGACTTTTATTTCATTTGATTTGTTTTATTGTAATATACAAGAAGAAAAATGGTTTCAGGGTGGGGATCTTGACTTTTTACAAATTTTCAAAAAAAAGGGGGTTAGGGTTACCCTCGTGGACTTCCCCTCAATTCTATTTGATTTGTTTTATTGTCAAATACAAGAACAAATATGGTTTAGGGATGGGGATCTCAACCGTTTACAATTTCTCAAACAGAAGGGGGTGGGGGGTTACCACAATGGACTTCCCCTATATTTCAATTGATTTCTTTTATTGTCCCATACAAAAATATATATGGTTTAGGGGTGGGGATCTCGACCGTTTACAAGTTCTCAAACAGACACGCATGGGGGTGACCCCAGGGGACTCACCTTTTATTTCATTTGATTTGTAACATACAAGAATATATATGGTTTCAGGGTGGGGAGCTTGCACATATACAAGTTTTAAAAAAAAAGGAGGGTAGCTGTGAACCCGAGGACTATCCCAATATTTCATTTGATTTGTTTTATTGTCCCATACAAGAATATATATGGTTTAGGAGTAGGGATCTCGACCGTTTACAAGATAAAAGCACATTATTAAATTGAAGGGGGGTAGGGGTAAGAATATATATGATAAACGGACACTTAATTATCTACAAAATGTCTAATAATGAACAGTAAATTCCAAACTTCATTTATACAGTAATACTAGTAAGTTTCAAACTTTATATATACAGTCCTACAGATCTTATCAGAAAACAGAAAATTTTCAAATAAATCTGTCACTCCAATGATTATCATATGCTAAAATATTTCCAAGATCTAATTAATAATGAAAATAAATCATTATCATATGCTAAAATATTTATAATATCTAATTGAACAGAACTATGGTTGTTTAACCTAGTACTCTAACATACTTAATAATGTAATAATCTTCAAAATGTCTAATGATATAGCTTATAATCATTACCACTTAGGAATTATATAGATAATTTTCAAATAAATCTGTAACTCCAATTTTTATTCTGAGATAAGACAAATCATAACATGATAACAACAGTAAAATATTTAAAAATTCTACGTTTGGATATTAAAAATGGCGATAACTCACAAAGGAGATATACTTTAATCTTGAAAATTAATAGAGACCTTCATTAAGTCCCAGGAGCAAACATATTTAAATTTGAAAATAATTTGTTAAAGCGTTTTCATGTTATTGTGCTGACACTGTTTGCAGCCGCCCGTAGAACCGCCCAGCCGCCCGCCGTATATCACCATTTTAATAACCGATATTTCCTTCGAAAATCCGGTTAAAAATCTAATGTATACAGCAAAAAATATCCTTTTATAGATTTGATTATTTCAATTTAAAAAAGACGGTTATCCGTTGCTTTGTGCAATTCTATTCCCTTTTAACGGTAATGATCATTTGGTCTCTTCTAACGGTATTTATATTTCTTATCTCGTTTGCTATTACCGTGCTTTTAGTTACGTTTTAGATTTCGATAAACGTAATCTATGTATTCTTGGTAAATTCTAAATTTATGGATTTCGTTAAACAAATTACATTAAACTTTTACTAAATTCTTTGGTAGTTTTAGGTTTTGGAATTTTTGCTGTACAGGTATGATTATTATTAGAAACGTCATTTCCGATCCTAATTTGTTCAGTTATGTTGTTTATAGAGTTCGTAAATTTCGATATTGTCCATGTTAACTATTGAAACGTTGAATAAACTTCCTAAAGCTTATCAACTTAACACGTGAAATCTTAAAATATTGTTTTTATCGGTACTTGCATTCATTTTATTTTTGACAAATCTAAACATAGCTAAATTAGTTTTGTTTTTCAGTAATGTTCCTACATCTTGTCGGTACCATTTCTCAAACTTTTGATGACATCTTTACACTATATTCATTTGATATAAGCTGATTGATACTTTATTCTGTGAGACGTGGTTTATTTATCAATTGCAATAGGCGTTTAACTATCTTTTAGTACATGCGAATGCTCTTAGATCGGAACTTTGTTGGGTTTTTTTAAATGATAGTTGTTATTATGCTGCGTACCTATCTATTGGTTGTCATTGGTTAATGTCTGTCCCTTTTTCCTATGCTTATCCTAAATATATATAGTTACATTTCATTTTGTTTTTAACCAAAATGTTTCTCATGTATAATTGCAAATAAAGACATAACAATGAAAATGATATGAATGCAAGTTGAATTTTTCCCCTTCCAGCTGCGATAGACAAATTGAACTTTTGGTGTTAATCAAGGAAACAACATGAAGGACAACATGCCACCTTACTTATACACATTGATCTAATTTACGGCTATCCAGTTCTCTAACTGGTATATTCTTGACAAAAAAGCAGCACATACAATGTTTTTGTTATTATCGTTATTATGTTTTTGATAAACTCAATTGGGAACTGAATCAAAATTCCTGTCCCATATTCAATTTCAAGATCGACGAAGCGGAACAAAATTGAAACGAAATTTATACTGATTTTGTTTTAAACGGGAAAATCAAATATTTATTGTTCAACGATCATGAATGCTGAAGTTTAAAGGAAATACTACATTATTATGTATTCTAACTTATAAATACTTAAAGACAAAAATACTTCTTCTTGAATAATTTATATATTTTAATGGTTAATGATTGTAATTTTGAAATGAAATAAAAGTCGACTTTTCCTGCTTAAATGAATGTTGATAAATACATGGTATGCTGTTACTTTTTCATTGGTTTCTTATTCATTTGTTTACTAATTCCTTTCGTAAGTCATTTTAGTTCAAAGATTCCTTGTAACGTTAAATTAATAATTCTCGTAACTAAGGTATACACGTTTTTTAGTGTGGGACAAAAATGTGATAAAACAACGATATACATGTAGTACAATAACAATATACAATGTGTAGTTAGTGTCTTTATTCAATGCAAAGTTTGCTCTGTGAATATACTGTGTAATTTGCATAGGGTTTTATAGCGTTTTTTTCGCCGGACAAATATTTCGGTAATTTAGTTAGAAATGTGAAAACAGATAGAGCACGAACGTACGGACAGAATATGTGAAATTCATTACATGAGAATTGTAGAATACCTAAATTAGAATAGAAATAAGTTTACAATGCTTATTTATATTGAAATTGATAAGACCATGGTATGGATAACTGATATTTAAATTTTGCATATTCAAATGAATGCATTACATCGGAAAGGGAAGTATCCCCATTCTGATGATAGGTGTACTTAAAATATGCTGAATCTAATAATGTTAATATCATACTTGTTACAATTAACAAACAGCACCCATCCACATGTTTGTTATCTCCTTCTGCTCTGTATATCCCAGCATCTGCCTTGTTTACACGGATGACTGTTATGTTTATGGCTCTCACATCCTGTGTCGTTTTGTCAAATATGTATTTCTCCTCTCCAGAATTAGGTATGTTCGCATTGCCGAATTGTACGCTATATATGACTTTCGAATTAAAGGGCGCCATGACCTTAAATTCGTTGGTCTTATTGGTCGTCCATGATAACACTGCATCGTCATTGATGTCAGCAGTAAAAGTATTGTCTGAAAATATAATTTAACTGGCAGTCTGTCAAATGTACATTATTAGCGAATGTATGCATATGCTCCGGACCATATGAGTATTTGGACCATACACGTATGGTCATGACCATATGCGTATATACTCAAATGGTCCGATTATACGCGTATGGTCAGGGTAATTAACGCTTTGAAAGACGAAAAAGTGTCCCATTAATTAAGAGTTTCTAAAAAATGAAGTAAGTCTGGTAATCATTGGAACATGGATAATGAAATAAAAGTGAACTTTATTTACCAGTAATACTTATTATTTTTTTTTAATTATATGGTCATTATCGATTTGTCCTTACGAAACACGATATGTCGACTTTAGAAAATAACTTCAAGAAACATTCCCTATTCATACGATTTTACAATAACAGTAACATCGTATGAACACGAGCAAAAAAACATCAATTAAATGAAAATTAAAATGGAAGAAATTTTGTTTCTGAAATAATAATTTAAACACTAAGAAAGAAGAAAATAAAAGTTCTTTCATCTAACGCCTGTGGTTTCACTTACGACAGAAAAAGTCGTCAGGATACGCGATACAAAAAAGAAGTTTCCACATTTTACAGTACGGATGTCAGATCCCAAGTCACTCAAATTTAAATGTGTGTATCAGAAACGCTTTGCTACTTCTTTCGCTTCTTTAAAATAGTTTTAAGTTTACTAAATGTACATACATATATATCTATATTATATATAGCACAAATTTGTTACTGGACTGAAACAAACTAATTAAGAAACAAATATTGGAAATAGCTTTAAATGTATTTGTTTGCCTTCATAACTAGAGATTTAATCAAATTCAAATCATTATTGGCATAATATACTTATATACATGTACTTAAAAGCATATGATGAAAATAAACAAGAACTACAATTTAAAAAACAGTAAATATCACATGAATCCTCTGTCCCACGTTCTACTGACTGTTTAAAAAGGAACCAAGCTTATTAGACTGAATGTAAGATCTAGGATCAAAAAATATTTACAAGAGTGTTATCCGTCTGAATGAAAGAATTCAAAATCGTATTGCATAACTTTTATAATGGGTAAATAGTATTTGCTTTTATGTACAAAATGTGCAAATAAATACCGTCATACATGCATGTTCGACAGTAACAAAAACAATGCAAATATTGAATACACATACATCAATAATATTTTTTAATGTTTGTTGTCAATAAACCCATTATGCTGGGCAAGACAAACCATTTACATTTAAGGATCAAATTGTTGAAATTAAATGGTTTTGAAAGTTTTTACTTGCAACCTGTTTCTTTTGTCTAACATGTCACATGTCAAAGACAGTGCCTATTTTTAAATGGTTGATTCGAAATTGGTAACATATGACAAATCTACTAAAAATTCATCCTCTAACGCGGGATTTAAATCGAACAATTGAAGTTGCAATCTTCCACCAAGAAAGAAAATAAAATTGATTACACTGGTTTCCCATTTCAAAAGGAAAAAAAAAGAAAAAAAAAATTGCGACCAGGTAAAGTACATTTACAACAACAATATTAAATAAATAGAGTCAGAAAAAACTTACTTGTCATCCAAAACTTCTGTTCGGTGACGCCTGACCACACTCCTCGACTTTGGTATTCAATTTTGACAGCATATTCTGAGCATAACGTTAGATTAATAATCTCATAGCTTCTGACTCGAAATTTCAAATATTTATAGTTGTTTGATGAATCGATTGACACTTTGGTTCCATTTGAATCGAAAAGAGAAACCAGCGAAGTGTTTACCTCATGGGTTGTTGTGATTGTCCACGAGATTTTAGCAATATTTCCGATAACTTGTATTGTAACATTTTTAGGTGGTTCTAGCTCATCTGAAAATTAATACAAATAGTTTTTTGTTACGTTAAATAAAGAAAACTGCCATAGTTCTGATTGAACAAGAGTGCACACGCTGAAATGTCTCGCCTGCTTTACTGAACCTTTGATTTTATGTTGAAAGGCTTGAAAATAAAGGTTTTACTAAAAGCATTACAGAAACTTAACATTTTTAAAGATCTATGAGAATGAGGTCAAGGCTAGATAAATCGTGTCAGACAGACATATACACCTTACTTTTTTTATACACCAAATATAGTTGATATTTTGTATATGGTGATTGAAAAACAGACCGAAACACAAAAACCAATGAACCATGAAAATGAGGTCAAGGTCAGATGATACCTGCCAGACAGACATGTACACCTTACAATTATTCCATACGCCAAATATAGTTGACCTACTCCTTATAGTATTGAGAAACGGACCTAATCACGTAACTTTAATCTTGATCACTGATCCATAAAATGAGGTCGAGGTCAGGTGAACTCTGTCTGACGGACATTTAGACGTTGCAAGGAACCCATGTACCAAATATAGTTATCCTATTACTCATAATAAGTGAGAAATTCACATGACCAAAAAGCACAAATTTTTTTTCAAGTAGTCGAAAATGAGATCAAGGATAATGGACATATGACAGACGGAAACCTCGTAACATAAGGTATCTGCATACAAGTTATGAAACATCTGAAATATGAAGCTTTATACAAATAGTTTACGCCGCCGCCGAATAGTAATACATTCATTATAGAAACGTTATACAAAATTTTAAGAAAATTTATATATATATATATATATATATTTCTGGGCTCCTATGGTTACTCTATTTATGGACAACGTGCAAGTTGTTTACAAGGTTTTCTTCATCATTGCATTTACAATAAAAAATAAAAACCCAAATGATATTTATTTAATCACATGACTTGCACATCGGACAAATTCTGTCACCATAAAGCATTTTTTGTTCAGTTAAAACGACTTTGAATTGATTAAGTCCTATAGTGTACACATACATGTAGAAACACGGTTACGAAGGAAAACGTTTAAAATAGTTAAACAGTCACTATATTGGGTATATACCTTGCAAAATATACTTTTTAGATACTTTGGTGGCTTCTAATCTGAACAGCATACAGCTACATGTACAAGTTGTTAATACTAGTGCTTTCTCTAAAAGTGCATTGATACAAAAATCGTTCATACCCTTTTCATCCAATTTGGTTTCTCAAAGATCAAAACGGAAATCACAAATCGAAATTGCACAAATCAGATATCAAATAGCATGCGTTTAGTAAGGAATACGTTACAAAAACACACACCAATAATATAGTTACACACAATGAACCCGAAGCAGTCACAATTCGGATTGAAAAGCATAGCCAAAGACTGTCATCCGTATTTCAATAAAGTAAGGTTGTGTGAATTAACATCGTGAAATGATTGGAAAGACGACAAACTATGTGTTTATGAGATAGGCAAATAAAGATGTGTATCAGAAATCGTTTCAATCTAAAGTTAAACATCAAACTGTTCAAATATGATAGCTTAGAACTTTTTTTATATACATCCTGTTTTTATCTTCTTATGACGTTTCGTGCATTCATTGATAAACGAACGCAGTTAGACATAAATAACACGACGTTGCTGCATTTTTCTGTGACATCATTGCCTAACATTTTCGAGTATCAAGTCCTGCCTGTGATCAATCAAAAATAATAGGCTGTAGAATTGATATGTATGTGCATATCCAACCGTAACAATTAATCGGTCACATCAGGCTTTTTTGCAAAATTGTGTTGAGCTTTTAAGGAGCACACTTACTAAGGTAACGGAAGACGTCTATAACTTAATTTTTTAAGCGTAATATCGGCAAGTTGCGCTTTTTCATTTATTTGGGTTTATAGTAGTGCCAGATTCACGAAAGCTCAAATTTGTCTGCAAAAATTACGCACTTGCTGGCTAATAGAAGGATTTTTTTTTTTATTTACTCAATTTAAGGATGTTCGCTACTCTTGTTTTTTACTTTTTGTCAGACATTCGCAATTCTCTAGTTTTATCCATGTAGTGCAAACACAAAAATTTTGCCCGATAACTCCTACTTTTCTTTTCATAATTTTATAACATATAGTTTAAAAAGCCATTTTTGTAAATCTTATAAAATCCTTGTTATTTGTGCATAGTTTTTGAAAGAAAAGAGAAAATCATTTCCCGTCAATTTTTCAATTGATTATGTAAGAGATGAATCAGTCCTGGTAAAAATGTGTCCGGGCGGACACTATGTGCTAGACTAAGTATAGAAAGTTCATGGTTACACAATTTACTAGCGTTTTTGGTTCGATGTCAGTAAATAATGTCCACAGATAAATTGTCCTAGGTATTAATGTCCATGTAATTAATATTCCTAGATAAAAATGTCCATGTCTTCTACTTAACGAGGAAAAATATTTACATAATAATAAACAATGTTTCAATATTTTTTTAACAGTTGGACATCAATCTTTCATCATTTTATTAAAATATGGGTGCATTTTAAAATAATAACATTGAGCTTTTTTTCTAGGAAAATTGATATCACAGACGTTTATGATATCTACTACTTAAAAAATGTTTATTTCTTTTTTTACTATTGAAATAATAATGAAGTAATAGTAATAATTAAGTTATAAAAATTTAAATTAATATTAAGTAATGTCTTAACATTAAAATTTTAAAGGGCTTTTTCCCTTGAAAGAAATTGATGACAAGGAATTTTATAAATAGGAAAATAGACCTAAAGACAAGGACACGGACCTATCATTTTTTCTGCTTTTTAAGATCCTTATTTTATATTCAATCATTTCATTACAGTCTGTTAAAAAGCTTGTTATTTTGAAATAGAGAAGCGAACATCCTTAAGCATGTACTATGTGGTATAGTTTTGTCTTAATAGCAACATAAATTGCAGTTAATCAAAGAAAGCTTGACATTTTGTTTGCATTCTATTTATGAAATTTAAGCAGACAAATATAGAAAACTTTTGAATTTGCGGATTAAATTTTTTTTTTTTTGGTTCATTGGTCTGTTTGGTTAAGAAGCAAGCGCATTTGATATACTTTCTCCCATACCCCATATCTACCCCTTTTAAAAAAAGAAAACCAAAAAAAATAATTTAATCCGCAAATTCACAAGTTTTCTATATTTGTCTGCTTAAATTTCATAAATAGAATTTAATGTTAAACGTTATCGAAAATAAAAAGGAATGATGTCATTGACAACAAATATCCAGTCATTTCCAAGCGTGAGTTTAAAAAGTGACCGATTCTTAATAGTGACCGATTTGAGTGGACGTGAGAATACATTTAATGATATTTTTTTGACTTGGGTTATCGGTAACGTATAACCAACTCGTTTTGAACAAAGAAAATAAAATCGAATCACCAAATTATCATCTTATTGCTTTTTTGTCTTGTCTTCAGTAAGTAGCTTTAAACATCTGTTTAGAGCACTATACTATATTTTCATTCAGATTGTAAATTTTTTGAAAACCGTGCAAGTTTCAGACATGGATATTCCTTGACTAATTATGATTTTCAGTGCTTGTATTACTTCAATTGCTTAAAATTAAGAAAGAGAAAAATGTTCAATGCCTTTGTCGACTTCGGAGAGGCGTTTGTTTTTATTTAGAGAACTGTTAAATATTTAAACTTTAAGGAGGAGTTCTGGATACAATTTGTTTACCCCCAAATAAAACTATGGCAAGGTGGTGATCAAGGTTTAAGTGATAGAAAACTATAAAATAATTCATGTCATTTAGTGCAAAGATAGAAAGAAATAATTACTACTCTAAGTCCGAATACTTTAAAAAAAGATTTCACAACTAATGAGCTAAAAAATATATAACTCTTCAAAAAATGTGAAGAATTATAAAACAAAAATGATATATGCGAGGGGTCCTCCTCCTGTCTATGGCTAGTCTGTATCTTAATACTAAATGTATGTATCATTCACATCTGCTTTAACGTTTGATGTAATTGTGCACATATATTTTCTCTGATATTTCGTTTCGTTTCGTTTCGTTTTGTTTTGTTTTGTTACTATCTGTTCCGTTTTAATTTTGTTTCGCACTTTACACACGGGTAGTAACGTCGTCATATCGAGGAGCGTTTAGTACAGTGATTTTGCCATAGTTTGGGGAAGTGATTGACATGGTTCAGTTAAGTGTCGAGAAATTCGCCATGGTTTTGATCACATTTGTCATGGTTTAGATCCAAATAAATACATATTTGTTTCACCTTAATATTGTTAGTTTGTTTGAAGGGGTTTGTAAAAAAACAGAGTTATAATTTACTAATTAACGAAAACGAAAAGAAGCCTTTTTAATTAAATTTTGTTTGTGTGATAGGCAAATCGTACATAAGACATTTTCACTTCTCGTGTGTTTCCTAATATAGAATTTATATAGCCACGTCTCTTTTAAACTGGCGTTCGGTTAAATAAATTACAAAAACAGAAATCGTTGCTTCTATACATCTGTTGTTTTGAACCAGATTATGTCTATGGTGAATAAAAGGAGACTTGGGGTTATACGCCATTTATTTAGTTACCAAACAACAAAACTAACCAAACAATATAGAGAGACACCATACAGTCTTCAACAAAAGACAGCTGTCTATACAATATGTTAATCTCTTAATCGCCCCAAATCTATAAAGTTTTGAATAAATTAAACACAGACAATCGAAATGGTTAAGGACAAACATAAGACTAAGGTGCACAAGTCCCCCTCAAAATCCTTATTTCGTGAATATCTAAAAGAAAATTGAAGTATTTTTATGACTCGTCGATAGTTCTCGCATCTAAACATTTAGAAGTCTAAAAATGATTAATTTGAAGAGCAATCAAAATTACCAAATATTCCATAAAGTTGTGCATAGGAGTAGAAAAAAAAATAATTTTATTAGCGATAAATGTAATGAACATGTCTGCATGTGTTCCCTTTGCTTCGGTAAAATGA